CGATCGACACTGTCGTCACTTACACTGTACACTGCGACCGATACGTCACTGTCTCATCACTACTTCAACCGCGACGATCGACACGTCGTCATCACACGTCACCCGAGAGAGAGAGAGAGGAAAAGAGAAGAGATGAGGAGAGAGGAAGAAAGAAAGATGAGGGAAAAGAGGCAAACAGAGAGTAGTGATTACAAATTCGTAATGATCTGGTTTTAGTAATGTCCTAGACTGGTGGCACAGTGGAAAGACACGTAGAGAGACTTGTACTGCATGTCCTGGGGTCGTGGTGAGCCCAGAAGACGTATGAAGCGATGCTTGTCTCATACTAGTCTCGTGGGGTGCACGCAGCGGCACAACAAGGCCAGGAGGCGCCTTCACCCATCTACTTCTGTTCTGGGCTGCAGGCTCCAGGTGGCGACATGTGATGACATCGTGCAGCTGAGCTCCAGACAGAGTGCGACAGCGGTGCAGGATACCGGACAACCACCTGGTCTGCTGCAGCAGCTGTACTCCATTCACAAGAGGTAGGTTCGCGCACGCCGCCCCGCTCGCACGTACGACAAGCGAACGTTTCCTCGTGCGTGGGACATCTATTGGATTTTGCTGCAAGTGCGACAAGTGAACATCCGTCCACGCGTGACAAGTGAACGTGTGTCTGCATGTGCGACATGCGAACGTCTGCTCACACATGTCAAGCGAACGTCTTTATGCACGCCGCAAGCAAACGTCAGTTGCTTCGCACTACAAGCAAACCTTTGTTCCTGCGCACAAGTGAACATTTTACCCTGCGCATGACACGAGCATGTCCGTCCCTGCACGTGACGCCGGAGCATTCCCTTGCTCGCAATGACCGCCACGTGCCATATCACCAGAGATGAGAATCTCCCGCAGATCTGCAGTTTCCCGCGTTTTTCACATTCGAAAATTATCAATTTTCCAAATCGTTCAAATCCGTTGAGAAAACTGCAAGGGGGGTGTACTGCCACCCACGGACAGTGGAAAAATGTCCCGCGGCTAGTGATGCTCTTTTACCGTCTGAGCTCGCCATACTCAGGGTTCGACACTAACCTATGTCCGACCGACCTAGTCGGGTAAATGCTTGGTCCGGTCGCATACATTACAACCAGAGTGCTAGTAGCCCGACTGGTCGTGTTAGAATTGGTCATATATATTGCACTGAAAGGTCACCTCTGTCTAGACTGGTTCGCGGCCGCACTGTTTGTCGCAGAGCGTCTACATTGTCTAGCAGAGCGTGAGGCCGGATATCAGTCTACCCTTCGGCAAAAACAATAACGTAGCTTGCTGCCAGCCACAGTAGACGACCGATAAACCGTGCGCTCGTGTATGCCCGTGGTAGAATACGAATGCTGCACGTGAACTCGGCCCACGCGCGATTTAAAGCACGGGAAACAGCATCTATGAATTCATACAATGACATACTCTTATCTAAATAAAGTTTTTCATAACAATGGTCTGGGTCTGGGCTAGTGAAAGTTAGGTCAGGGCTAGTGGTTTTTCTCAGTTACTAGCGAAATAAAAAGTGAAATAAAAAGTTAATGTTGAACCCTGCATACTGCGACCGACAAATGCACTATTCATTCTGGGGGAGCACCCCCCGACCCCCCGATAGTGCTTAGCACCTGTGGTGCTCGCAATATAGCGCTTTGCGCTATTCTACCAGTAAGTAGAAATATATCCCGCGGATTTCGTCCTGGGTCGTTCTCATGTCTGTATCTCGTGCTTCAGGTCCGGCCGCAAGGTGCTAATGATCCACAAGATGTCGCCGGCCCTGCAGCAGGCGTCGACGGCGAGCCACCTGGAGAGCGAGGTTGCTGCCGCGCTCGCGCTCGGCTCGACGGCCGAGTACAGGCGCCGCGTGACGGCCTACGTGCGATACCTGTCGCAAGAAGGTGCGTACAAGGCCACAATTAAAAAAATCTTTGTTTGCCCTCACCCGACCCAGGCTGAAAAGCTTGGGTAGGCTTCTTTTTTTGAGGGGGTCTTTTTACAAATTCAGCTTGGTGTCTACATGCTCGGGTGTGCTTGCATGGAGATTGTTTGTTTTGATTGGTACATATAATCACTAGCGGATTAAGGGCGGGGCAACAGGGGCACGTGCCCCGGGCCCCCCACATTTGGGGCCCCCCACACGCTTAGTCCGGCCCTGCTGATATGAAATGAGCTGAACAA